CAAAGAGCACATTCGCGCTAGTCTTCAATTCCTTGACATTCTGAAGACATGCAAGAATGGAAGAGTTTCTCCTTGTCTCCCCTTGCAATAACATGTGCCTAAAGTTAACCACCTCCAAGTTGCCACAAATTTCTAGCAAGTTAAGCAAGTCGGTTGCATCCATGCAGCCACTGACATCCAACGTTTTCAACTTCCAAGGACGAGGTACCAGAAAGGGCCCTGGATAATTTGTTCCAACTTCAAGGCTGGTCAAGTTGGGCGCATCTATTTTCAATACCCTCTTTCCGTCGGGATGCAAGTGCAAAGACTTCAGATGGGGAGTGTTCATCTCAATGCAACCTAGCGGTTGCGCTCTATCCTCCGAGTCTGATTCATCGTCAGAGTCCAAAAAATAGCTATAGTCCAGAGTGAGTTGCTCTAGCGTGCTAGAAGAGACTTTGGTCACGAGAGTCCAACAGAGTCCACCATCCAGGTGCAACGAAAGTCGTCTTAGTTTGGGAGCAACTTCCACAAGGCTGATCAAAGAACTCTCATTGATTGATTGTATCTTTGAGAGATGAAGCTCGGTCAAGTTGTTGAATGACTGGTGTATGGGCTTGCTAATTGTCAGATGGCAGTCTTCGAGAACCAGCGACTCAAGTTTAGAACACTTAGTTAGCAACTGCCCCAAAACTTCATCCTTTTCATGGAGAGTCGCCAGGTTTGCTCGACTCATACGAAAATGTTTGAGCATTGGTGCCAGACAGAAGACCCCTGCCATGAAGCCGCTCAAGACCGCTTGCTCATCCAGAGGCTCCTCACAGACAAGGTGCAGCGTCTTGATATGAACCGCGTCGTGAAGAAACCAAATCACCCGTGCATCTCGTGCAGCCTCGCTATCTAGCTTACAGAAGATTGCGTCTACTTCGCACAACAAGCCGTTGAACCTTGAACACACGGGCCTGAGCCTTACAAGAGCTTTTAGATCTGCTGCGCAAGCCCAGGCTTCAGCTTCTGGCGATGAGAACCTGGAAAGTGGCAGTACTCGACGTGCGGCCCTCGCTAAAATGCAGACAAGCACGCTGTCGGGCAAGAGGTCAAAAAGTGAAGCCATGAAGTCAACGAATCAGACTTGCAAGTTGCTGTACCGTTGAATGCAATGGATGTGCCCCCAAATTCCAATGCGCTTTGCTGCCGTTGCTGTGTCCTTGTCACTGTGTACCCTCAATGGGCGTCAGGCTGTTGCGCCACAGAAGTGCCCATTGCGGCAAAGGAAGTGCTGGACAGGGTCGGGTTCACATTGGACTTTCTCAAAACTTTTATCGTGATTCGATAGCTAGACCTGCGTCACTCGGCGTCAGCCCGCCAGGGTCGGGTTCACATTGGACTTTCTGCCCTAATTCGGTCTGCCATGATTCGCAATTGGAAGTACCCATGCTGACGTTATAGCAGTTTCGGATTACAATAGCCAAACTGGGTTCACATTGCAATTTGGTCCGTCGAAATACGGGTCGTAATTCAAAACTCTCGACCGGAGCCATGTGACCGACCACGTGAATCAGATTGAGTACACTAAGTACACAAAACCGTCAGCAAAGGCGGAGGCGTGACGATATCAAACCTGTAC